GAGAGGGAGGGAGGGAGGCCGGGAGGGACGGAGGGTGCTCTTCGCCACACCCGGCGAACTGACCTATTTCCTTCTTGAAACGAATGTGAACGAAACTCTGCACATCTTCTTCAGGTAGAACACCGCAAGCAAAAAAAGGGGAGATAGAGAGACAAAGAGAGAGAGTGCACTTCCGCACACCCGTTTGCACGCAGCTCGACTACGCTGCACCTGAGTACTCCTTTCGGGGTGACGCGGACCAAAACGAAAAATCTCGTCTGCGCTGCCCCGAGAAAACAAATGCATGTCCGAAACGCCAATGGACCGTTGAAGTACAGGCCCTCAATTCCACGGTTAGGGCTATATCAGAAAGTTAAACATTCCAGGACAGGGGCATACTGAGAGTTTAGGGGCATTTCGCGATACCCCTACGTTTTTTAAACCACCGGCCCTCCTGACGTCAGAAAATGTCAGGCGTACCGGTAGCACCATTTCACGACGGGTACCGATAGTACAGCGTGGAAAACAGGGCAGGCCTCCGTACGGAATTTGCGACAAAAATCGGAAATAAACCAAATCGGCGCGGCGAACATTTCACCGTCAAAATGATTTTTTTGTTTTTTTTTTGATATTTTTCCCTGAAAGATCACGACCTAATCTATGGACCCTCAAATTTTCAGACATTTTGATGTTTTTTTCTGAGCACAAAAAATCAGCAAAGTTGCTGCTTGCAAAATGGTGGGATTGGACAAAAATCGGAAATAAACCAAATCGGCGCGGCGAATATTTCACCGTCAAAATGATTTTTTTTTATTATTATTTTTTTTTTCCCCTGAAAGATCACGACCTAATCTACGGACCCTCAAATTTTCAGACATTTTGATGGTTTTGTGAGGATTGAGCCCTCAAGAAGGGGCCTTGCCATGATGAACATGTTCTGGGCTAAGGCCCCAGCAAGCCTAGTGCCCGCCCTAAGTGAAGGCGGGCCAGCAAATCAACAAGAGCCCACTGTACAAACATTTCACGAAGTGGGGTCCATACAGTTGCAGCACGCCAGTTGGTTGGAGGCACCGAGTCTCGTATCTCTGCAAATGTAGAAATCCCAGGGCCTCTGAGTTAGTTAGGCCCTGGGCACTTGAACGTGAGGCCGACAATGCATGYTGGGTAGAGAGGCCGAAAATGCCAAAGGGAATCGGCCCACTACCTGCATTTGGCCGCAGGCCTTGACGAAAGAGGCGCAACTGCATCCCCCGGGCCTTAACTGCATCGGGCCTGGGTTCAGGCACTGAGGCCCAGACGCAGGCTGAAGGGAGGTCGCCCACACGCAACACTGGCAAATAGGCAAGCAGGGCGAGTGGGCAGGGATCTTGGCCATTGCGGGCAATGCCGGCACGCTGCGCTAATGCGAGCTGCTGCACTGCGCTAGGCTGAGGTGCGAGACAGGCAGGCGCTAGGCGGTAGGGCGCTGCCTGTACACAGGGCGGTGGCGGCCATAGCCGGGCTGCCTGAGGGCGCAGGGGAGGTGAGGGCGAAGGTGGTTCTTCGGAGGTGAAGGGCGCTGTGTGGGTGAAGAAGGAGATGTACCTGGTGGAGGTGGGAGGTCAGCATTGGGGTTGACTTCATCACTCGTCGGTCGTCAAGTTGTCTGGTTGCTTTCATACTGTAGTTGTAGTGATAGGCTGTGGAGTAGGTAGGGCGCCTGGCGCCATTCAGAGAGAGAGCTACATTGGGTTATGCTGTTGGTATTGCCCTGTTGGGCTTGGACATTGACGCACGATTCTTCTGTATCGTTCTCAAATGGATGGTTACTCGGTTCCATGGTGTTATCTGCTCTTGCTTTGACTACTTCGACTTCAGTGTGATTTTGCAATTTGGATTTTTGTGCTTCGTCCATATTCATGTTCCTTGCAATTTGGTATCGGAGCTGGTTTGATTCGCCACTTACCTTGGCGCGCTGGCGTTATACAGACTTCGCAGTTGGTGCTTGGGACGTCAGGCCATGATTAGGCGCACAGCCTGGGTAGAGAGGTGTGCGCCGGAAGGCTAAGACGGCATTAAGTCGTGGTGACAGGCGGAATGTATGATTGGTGATGAGAGCATGCTGATGTGGCATTCGGCTGAGGTGGCACTGCATTGCGTTGTGGGTGGTACCGAGGCCAAGACCGGTCATCAAATGCACACTCAGCTCAATTGGTGAGAAATTTGTGGTTGGGGGCAGCTATCTCCAGGTACGTTGTTCCCTTACATTATCTACTTTCTCAATCTCTTCTTACCGTGAGGAAGTGAGTCCAACTTGAGAGTCCTCTCTTTTGGTGAGGTGTCGTGAGCGCGCTACCTTGAGAGACGACAATCTTCCCAGAAGCATCTGGAAGGAGAAAGGGCGGTGCCTCTGAAGGGCCCTGGTCGAAGCACTGGGTCACGGTCACCATGCCAACCCAATGGGAGTAGGTCACGCATGCGATGGCCGCTGTCCATTTTGGCACTTGTTGCGCTGAATAGAAGTCTTGTCGGGTGTGCCAGCCTTTTATGAGACGCTTACCAGACCGTCTATAAACATTTCTGGTTGGGGACTCGGATTGAATCTGGTTGTGATCGTCGTCCTGACTGCGACGTTAAATAATTCCTGAAGAGATGGGGGCGCTCTTAAAATTCCTCCTGATCAGCCAGATCAACCGGGTGTAAGGCTCATTCCGTACGAGGGTAAATAAGAGTGGACTGGCTGGCTCGCTTGGCAACGACTTGGGCACAGGGGTGGGCCGAAAACACACACGAAGACACCGCTGCTCAATGATGCTTACCGGTATGTTGGATTGAGGGGAAGGGTAGGTTCTAATTGATGCTCAACTGGAAACACAACCATACCCACTATTCATACATCTGCAACATGGTCTTCGTTTATTCTTGATTAGTTGGTGGACAGACTGCTATCACCTCATAGACAGATTATAGTACAACTGTTGTATACTACCATAGCCAGTTCTATCTAATGCTGCTGTAAGTGAACCAATCAAAATACATCTAGACTATGTTGACAATCTATTGAGAATGTTGTAGGCTGCCACTTGATCGGTGAGTAGGGGACCTGCCGGACAACTATTTTTAGAAAATTAGGTGCCGGTCAGACACATGTTGTGGTAGGACTCCACTAGGGGGTTCTAGTGCAGATAGTGTTTACCTAACTCATGAGCGGATCAGACAACGATGAGGGGAGAGAGGACAATGTGAGACTTACACGTTCAGGAGCACTTAGGGTCCCGCACGTGTTCCAGACCCTACAACTGGGAGACGAAGCACGGCTTCGTGCCGAGCGTAGAGCCCGTGCTCTTGCAGCAGCGAGGGCAAAAGCGAACCTAGCAGCTAGGGAACAGGCTGCTGCAGTAGGCAGAGCAGTAGCAATGTCTAGCGCAGCGGCATCCTCTGCTGCATCATCCGCAATATCCTCGTCAGGGACCCATTTGGGTATGCCCACAGGGTCCACGGGTACTTCCAGTTCAGTAGGATCTCGACAGTCTACAAGTCAAATGGCGGGCTCGCAGTTCAGCCCGTTGACCCCACGCGAAAGGGAGCTTCTAGAGCTCCAACATGTCGAAAGGATCCGTGAACGATTAGAGAGGGAACTGGAACAGGCAACCGATAGAGAAAGAGAAATAATAAAAAAGAACAGTCAGGCTTGAAACATGAGGGGCTGACAAAGCTGACTTAGAGGGTTTGGATGAGTCAGGGTTGACTGAACCAATGAAAGTATTGAAGAACAATATGTTGTCACTACATGCGCATGTGGACAGCCGATTGGACTTTATGCAGAACACTCTAGACCAGATCCTGGACATTTTGCAAAGGCCAGGATTCAGGCCACCAGCACAGTCGCCGTTGGCGTTAACGGCGATGTCAAGGCCTCTTTCCCGTGCAAGCTGGCACACACCCAAGTGGCACGTCTGCAGCAGTCTCACAGACTGTTGCTTCTTCTTCTTCGGGTCCAGCGGTGGGAGCTACACCACCGCAACAACCTGTTCCTCCACAGGGACAGTCGCAAGGTCAATGGTACCCTAAGACCCCAATGAAACCGCCTTCTTCCTTCTCAGGCGAGAAGAAGGACGAAGAACTCAACACTTGGTTGAAAACAGTTCCGGTTTGGGTGAAGGCGAAGAGGACCTTGCAGGAGGACGAAGTGGTTACTGTTGCATCTTACCTCGAGGGTAAGGCAACCAAATGGCTAGAAGGTCTAGTTGCAAAGGCCGGGTATGGACGACGCATGGCGGACTGGGCAAAGACAATTACGTTAGACCAGTTCCTAGAAATGGTAGAAGCTCGCTGGCACAATCCTCAGCAGGTACAAATGGCCACTGATGCGATAAACAGACTAGATCAAAGAAAGTTTACG